AAGTAACTTCGTAACTAATCGAGAGAAAAGTAACTCTGTGAGCCAACGATATACAAAGTGTCGGGTTCAGGAGGAATAACGGGATTCCCGGCACCTTACTAGGCACAACCAGACATCTTAGCTGACATAGTTTAATAATGTCATACGTGAGCGCCATTTTGATTTGACTGAAATCCATCCTTTGGCCGCCTTCCAGCCATAATCCAATCTACCGGAGTTTAGAGCACCAATGACATCCGAATCAAAATGTTGTGGTCCATGTTGTAGTCGCAATCTCCTTCCGATGTATAGATCTAATCTAACCTCATTTTCGCAGCTTGATCATGTCGTCAGGGCGATATAGTTGGACATACCTTATCCGATGCCATCTACCATAGTAGATCTGATAATTCCCAACCATGAACCGCGGACCGTGGACTTGGTACACTCGAAGATAGTTCACCAGCAGCATCAGTAAGTATATATTTACACAGCCTCAACTGTCAGGCTGTAGATCACCTCATTCGAACAAGACTGACTAAGCTATTATTCAAGAATGAATATCATTCTTAACAACTACTTAACAATAATTAGTAATCACTCTGTTAATCTTATCTTACTTTTATTCTTTCCATAATATAGTCGATATCGGTGATCAGTGCAATGACGATACGCTTATCTGCCGATCGCGAACAGCGCGTTGTATCTTCGCGGGTCATCCTCTCACGTCAACATATGAAGTCGACTCGACCGTGGCCGGCGTCAGCTCGGGCCACACTCGAAGCGTGCAGCAAAGGCAGATGCGACAGCGCCTTTTGGTGAACCGATATACCGACGCCTTAGAGCCGAGTGGGCTGGACGGCCGGACAAGCCGTAGTGAGGCTGGACAGCGCGAGATGTCGAACAAAAAGGAGGCTTTAAATGAGGGTAGCATAGCGACAGCGTTGCTGGCGTCGCGAGGTCGAGGCTGGTACAGTGAAGCATCGGCTCATCGATCCGGCAACCCCGAGGCGAGAGACCCGAGTCCCGACCGACTGAACGATGGAGAAGCCGTGGAAACAGAGGCCGGAGGACTGGCGCGGCGGTCAGACACGGTCAAGTGGTGCCGCTGTCCGAGGAGTCGCGTGGCCGTGTACCAGACGACGCTGCGCTACATCGAGTGCTGTGAGTGTTTGGCTGATTCGCATGCCCGGCGGGTACAGTGGCCCCGGACTGGACTGAGAAAATTGGTCTGACCTCAGTTACACAACTTGATTGTGTTGTCAGGGTGGCGTCAAAGAATATATCTTGTCTGGCGTCCTTTTTATGGGCGTTGTGATAATTTTCTGTGTGAAACGGTGAAATTGCTACATTTTTTAAAGTCATGCCGGCCCTGTTAGTGACAATCCTTTTGCCAAGCTACTAATTAAAATCTAACAAATCGAAGGCAGACGATGATTAAAGTATCTTCTTCGAGTAAAAGTTTTAGGTTGACTGGAACTCTTATTTAAGATTTATGGGTAGTTTAGAAAACCTGTGAAATAAAGAGATATA